GGATTGGACGAGGTAGGCTGGGCTGGCTAGGGCAGAGGAGGTGGAGGGGGTGGAGGGGGATGTGGAACAGGAGCGGGGTCCTTCTGGGTGGCAAGCGGCGGAGACGAAGGGCCAGGTTCATGACGAGTGAGAGCACCCTGGGTTGTAGCTGGAGGGTGGATGGACGAGCTCAACTTCTCAGCCAATTCCATCATGCGCCGAATCAAACCAAGCTGCGAATCTTAGGACCGCTGGACATTGTCGAGTTCCATCAGTAACAGGCCAACATCAAGAGGAGAAAGATGAGTGGTTCCTTGTGTCGTCAGGACAACAACTCGTGGTCTGCCTTGAGAAGGAAGAATAGGAGGAGAGGCTTCCATCTCTTATTGAGACCGCTTCCGATTGTCACCAGCTTCCGGAACAGCATCCTTACCATGGTGTGCTCGCATGGGATCTCCAACTACTCTCTCGATCTCCTTCCACATCTTCTTGTTTTCTTCTTCCGTCCTGGCTTGATGTTGCATTTCGAGTTCCTCCATTTTCGCATTAATCATTCTAGCCATCCTTGCTTTCTTCTCAGCTTGCTGTGCTTCCTCCTCTTCAAGATTTTTCTTCTTTTCCTCCTTCATAATTCTTGCCTGCTCTTCCTTCCTGTGGCGCTCTTCCTCCTCGCGTCGTCTGTCCCTCTCTTCCCTACGCTCGTTCACCAGTTCTCTGAGGAGGGACACAACTTCGGCGTTGTTACTCCTAGGTCTAGGTCCCCAGGGAGCAGCTTGGGATGGGACGGCAGGGGGACGAAACGAAACAATAGCGTTGGAGTTGGAAAAGTTGGGAGAGGAGGTTGTTTGCTGGGGTGGCGGGGCTTGAGGTGAAGGAAGCAGAGGGGCAAAAGGTGCATAGGTCGTCTGGGTGTAAGTTTGGGGAGGAGGGTAGGATGGGGGAATGGTGGGACGAGAAATAGGGACCCCCGAGATGAGGCCATCGTGTCTCGAATAAGGGCAGTTACGGGCGAAATGGTCCGGCTGCCTGCAGTTATAGCAAACTCGCTCAAAACCTGGATACTGCCCAGTGTCCGCCATCCTTAGATTAAAGCGGAATCGTACACACAAAAATGTGAATAGCTCTGTTGCCGCGAAAATAGTCGAGGATATAGGCGAGTTCCTTAACAAAGCAGTAGAAGCAACCGATATAGCAATCTTGGGTAATAAGCTGGTCACGAGGGGAGGAATCGATGGTAATGTTACAGTAGATAATCCATGCCATACAGGAAGAGAGGGAAAATGAGAGAGGAAGAAGAAGAAGAAGAGAAGAAGAAGAAAGAGAAGAAGAAGAAGAGAAGAAGAAGAAAGAGAAGAAGAAGAAAGGGAGGGTGCGAAAGATGAAAAATAGGTGGAGCGAACCGAAGGTGAAAAACCACCAACGGTCAGGAAGCCACCAGCGTCTACACCAGTCAACGAATAGCGGAGTGGTTACAGATGCTACCGCAGCAGTATGGGAACGCAATCAAAAGACTCGCATAACCATTGGCAAAGGTTCAGAGGGAAGGGATACGGGATAGAAGAACACAAATCATAGAGAAGGAAAAAGGGTAGAGAGAGATGGAGATATGGATGGCAAAGACCAGGAAAGCCATGAGAGACAAGGTACGCGCAAGAGAACAGACATTTTATAAAAATGTAAACAATGAGAGCCAAAGTTCCATGCTGGCGAAATCCCTACGATCGTTTCAACCGTCCGCCAACGACAGTATCATCAGGGGACGATCAAGCGAGTACCCTGAACAAACATTCCACTACTTAAATAGTCTAATCTCCACACTCGTTTCTCCACATAGCTCCAAAGGAAACACGCAGTCTAAGAAGTGTCGATCACGTGAAGGAAAGGAAAGGAACCGCACCAATATATATATATATATATATATATATATATTAAAAGCTTCGTTACATTCATCATAAGTTAATGGTTCCCAAGAAAAAGGTAAAAAAATGACTTGTTTTCTATCTTGGTTCCAATTATTTGAAAGCCATTCTTGAATATATCCAATATAATTGAAAGCTCTTTTTGGTAAAAATAACGAAAGATCTCTTCGTACATAATTGGGAGAATCTATCTTAGCAATATTCCAAGAAAAAGTAAAATCGTTTTTTTTTTTTTTCTGGGTAATAGAATCATTAATACTTTTGCTTGTTTTTTAGTTATACTCTTTGTATCTTGTTCGCAGTTTTTCTCAGAATAATTATATTTTTGAATGTATTTTAATCTATCAAATAAAAATCCTATAAAAAGTATATATGATTATTATATATACTTTTTTAGTTTATATATTTTTTTTTAGTTTTCAATTCTAAAATTTTTTATATTCTCATAAATCTTTGAATGTATTTTAATCTGTATAAATTCAGTTTAGAATATATGAATTCATAGATATATCTATGAATTCATATATTCTTATTGTTAGAATAAGTAGATAATTATAATCATATTCTGATTATTGTAATTATATTAATATTAGAATGATTATATTATAAAATGATTATAGAGAATGATTGTAGATATTGTATATAGATATATTGTATATATTGTATATATGTGTTATATATTCTATATTCTTTTAGTGTTATATATTCTATATTCTTTTAGTGTTATATATTCTATATTCTTTTAATGAATGTCTCTTTTTTGATACATTTTATTTTTTTTGTATGAACTGATTTATGCGTATTGATTGATTCTAAACAGAACCAATCAATATATATGCTTTTTTAGAATAACTTTACTAATTCTAAAAAAACATATATACATTGCTCAATTTATGAAAGAATATCTGCTATTGTTCCTACATCAGCAGCTATAGGCTTACATTTGTATCCTATATGGGAAGCAGCTTCACTTGATGAATGGCTTTATAATGGTGACCCTTACGAAATGATTGTCCTTCATTTCTTACTGGGTGTAGCTTGTTATATGGGTCGTGAATGGGAACTTAGCTTCCGTTTGGGCATGCGTCCTTGGATTGTTGTTGCATAAATATGGGATGGACTAAAATAATATTTAGATTTAGTTAGAGGAAAATCTGTATTTTTTATAGGAGATAATTTGTTAGAAATTTCTTTAGCTCGATTTTGAATTCGTTGTGGTATGATAGTATATGAAGTAGGTATACCATATATGGATAAACGTTATCAAGCAGCCGAATTAATGTTGCTTCAAAAGACATGTGAAATGATGAATGTACCCTCACCTAGAATAGTTGAAAAACCTGACAATTACAATCAAATTCAGCGCATTCGTGAATTAAAGCCTGATTTGGCTATTACTGGCATGGCTCATGCGAATCCTCTAGAAGCTAGGGGAATTAGTACTAAATGGTCAGTAGAATTTACTTTTGCTCAAATTCATGGATTTACAAATGYTAGAGATATACTTGAATTAGTGACTCGTCCTTTAAGAAGAAATCAGAGCCTTCATGAACTAGGTTGGAATAATTTAGTGAAAGTAAATTATCAATAAAGTTAAGATGTTTTTTTATTCATATTTCGTTGAACTGACTATTAAATTTGTATTAATCAATATGGAAATAAATATAAATTCATTAAATGTAAATCTTTAATCATAAAATATGAAAAATTATGTTATTCATTATGAATGAAACGAAGAATAGATATACTATTAATTAAAAGAAAGTTTTTATTTTAATACTAATAAATAAAAGAAATAAAACCCTCATTTTATTGAAACTTCAAAAAGGTTTTATTCTATTTATTTTTGGATTTCAATTGAGTCGAATCTAATATTTGTAGAACAAGTCCAGCACCTATAGTACGTCCACCTTCGCGAATAGCAACCTGAATACCATGAGGTGGCCCTTGAAAAGTCTTTGTATAAGCAGGAGGAATACGTAAATCTTCCAGACGTAAAGCCCTTAATGCTTTAAATCCAAATACATTACCTACAATAGATGTAAATAAATTTGTTACTAAATGGTTCATTGAATCTGGTTCTTGTGCATAGACACTCCAATTTCCCGTAAAAAAAGGTTGTAATCCTTGAGGATGCGGAATAGAAGTCAAAAAATTGCCCCACCTTATAAGTTGGTGAAGCAGTAGGCATAATTGCTTCACAATCCATTGGAGAACTAGGAACTCAATTAACTCTCCGAACTTTTCATACTGGAGGCGTTTTTACTGGTGATATAGCTCAACAAATCAGATCTTCATTAAATGGAATTATTCAATTGAATAATTCCAAAATTTGATCTATACGAAATCGCTATGGTCAGCTAGAATCAACAAATTGTATTTCTGTTTGAGACAATATTTTTATAAAATTGAAATAGATTAAATGAATACTATATTAATATGTTGATAGAAGATTTATATTGTATATTGTCATAAAAAAAAATATACAATATAGAAAATCAAAGAATAAAAAGTAATGCAATCAATTCAATATATTCAATAAAAAACAATGCAATATATATATATATATATAAATACAATATATATGTTGATTGCCTATATTATGTATATGTGTATTATATCGATTATTATGTACCTATCTTTCTATATTCTGTAGACTCCTATTTCTGTATGTTTAGTATATAAATATATATTGGCTCGTATTATATATTGTATATATATATATCGTCATATATATATATATATATATATATATATATAGAAAGAGAGAGAGAGAGAGAGCAATTAAATTGGCAACCTAGATATCGAATGTAGCAAGCTACTGAAAATAGAACGTCGGAGCATCGATTCTCTGAGAACTAAGACCGGATTTGGGTGGTGATCAACCGAAGACGATGACCTGACGAATGCCTGTTGACCCGTTTGATGAAGAAACTTCGATCGTGAGAAGCAGCCTTCAAACTGATGAGTACTGGGACAGGCGAGAGCTAGGAGCGACAACTTAATGTCGAAAAATGCTCGTGGTTGTCCCTCGGGTAGTTCAGCCAAAGACGATTCGAAAACAACAAGAACCACCACAGCAGACCACATAAGAAAATCCAAATATGAGGGGTTGATCCAATGGTGATCAAATCATAGATAGAGAACCACGTAGCAAAGATTTCAGAGGAAGTCATGATGATTAAAAAATGAGAGAGAGAGATAGAGATAGAGAGAGAGAGAGAGAGAGAGAGAGAGAGAGAGAGAGAGAGATTTTAGCGAAAAATGGGATAATCCTCGAAACCGTTTGTCTGGCGGGCGAAGTTTAGTTCAGAGAAAACTTCAGTTTGTTGAAAAAAGAAACTTAAAGAATAAGTGTCCCGATACACGTGAGGTCAGAACAGACAGTAATACGTGAGCAACCGCAAGCACAAAGATGGATCAGAGAGCAATTAAATCAGTGAGGTCCCCAATACGTGAGAATCCAAAGCAGGTGTCATATCCATGTTCGTGGAAGTAGCAGGTTCAAAGATACCCTTCATCCTAATTCGCGAGAAAAATGCTCATAGATAGTAATTCATGTGCCCAGATCAAGATCAACTAAAGGGTAGTGAAGACACATCCGGTAGGAGGGGTTAATCGGGCGAAAGAGGGGTGTGCTTTTATGGATAGGGTATCACCGATGCCAAGTGAAGAAGAAGAAAGGGGAGAAGGGAAAAAAAAAAAAAGGAAGAGTAAGGATTGACAGTTAGAACGTAAAAGGTTCTGGCAGAGATACGTGAGTACCTGAAAGCCGTCTTCAGGTAGGCGCGGCTTCAGGTCCAAGGAGAATGTCGTGCTTACCGAACTGAGGAGAAGTAGAAGGCCCGAGAGGTAGGAGTCCTGAAAACTGTCGGTTAGAACAGGCGATGCGGCACCCACAGGAGTGGCAGCGTAACAATTCTATCTTCATAAGTAAGACAGAGAAGCCGCAATGAATGAATGCTCCGCGTCGGTGACATGCTTGGTGGGAAGGAGAGGTCGATGCCGAAGAGACAGGTAAATAAATAGAGAGGCAGAAGGATAACAAAAGTGAAACAGAAACGGGCTTGGGTGGGAAAAAAATTAGTAGGACTACCTAGTACCTACAGGGATACTCAATCGCGGGGAACCACAGGAGAGACAGGAAGCTGACATGAAAAAAGGCACACGCCAGGTCCCATATCATCCTTAGAAGGCCTACAACAGTGATAGTTAAGGTTTATTCATCTAGAGTCGCGAAAACAAGTACCCAGGGATCCCAAACCCCTTTATGGTTCCTAGAGAAACCTTTAAGCTCCTTGGAAAACAACAAATGTGAAAAACCCTTAAGCCGAAGCTCACGTTTTAACCTGCCGCGTCGATATGGGAACATGCGAGGTCCCATATCATCCTTAAAAGGGTCTCAAACCCGCCGTGCCTGTTTGTTGTAGGCTGTTACTTTTCATTTTCGTCATCGTTTTTTTTTTTTTTTTTTTTCTTGGCCCCGTTTTTTAGGGACTACCGGTCGCACGCTGGTGTGTACCCCGCGCGACGAGGCGTGTTAACGGCCGCGTCGATTTCCTCAAGCAGGGAGAGGTACTGATGGTTTAAAACACCAAGGCCGGGTTTTGTGAGCTGTGTGTATCCTCAAATCCCTCCCCCCCACCTGAAAAGGAATAATATCATCAATGGTAAAGATGTGATCTGTGGGAATGTCCAAGGCTATCATGAGATAGTGATCCCTCGGGGCTACGTGGGAGGGGAGAGGGTCAATGAAATCAACGATTTCATACTTCTGGGCAAGTTCCTGCATAAAAGCCCCCTGGGACGGAGACACCATACCGGCGTTGCGAAAACAGGCAAGGTAAAAGGGAAAAATAAACGAAGGCGAAAGAACTAGCTGCAGTTGACATTAGCGATACACAGCGCTAACACTCCGCGTGGTCGCAGCGGACAGGGCCCCGCTGCCCTCCACGTGATCGGGCGCCCGTGTAAGTTTACGAGGGGCAGCTTGAGCCACGTGTCTTGCCCCACGTCCGCGGCGACGCTGACGTGGCAGCCCCGCTAGATCTGGGATTGGCAGGGAAGCGTGGGAGTTCGTCGGCGTGGATTTCGAGGCGGTTCAGAGGTGCAGATGGCTTCAATGCGAGATAAGCAGCGAGGAGCCGCCTAGTGACTCTCATCTATTCGATATCGTTTACAGGTGATGGTGGATGAACTGCGATCACAATTGGGAGCTCAATTCAAAGTTGGCGGGGGGCCAGCTTCATCGAACCCGCCGTTTCAGGAAGGGATGACGAACATGTTGCAGGTCATCTGAGAGTTGGAGGATGGTCCCATAGATGGTCATCAGGAGGAGACTCTGAAGCGGTGCTGCTATGACATCTTCGAGGAGGGGCAAAATGTGTACGCAGCAATAACAATGATAACAACAACAACAACAACAACAAAAATAACATCAGTGATACCAACAATGATGGTTCCCCCTTCTCTCCTCCACTGTCCATTCTCCTTCGCGATCGTGTCGACGACCCGGGGGGAGGGCGAGAGGGCTGTTTGAATGGTTCGTTCAGCATATTGGATGGGTATGGTGGAGAGCTAGGGGTGGGATGGGTGCGCAAGGGGGTGGGATAGATATTGGAATGTTTTGCCACATCTGTTCCCTTCTCGCCCCCAGTGTCCTCTCTCCTTTGCAATCGTGTTGACGACCTGGGGGGAGTGCAATCGTGTTGACGACCAGGGGGGAGGGCGAGAGCTCTGTTTGAATGGTTGGCCACGTGCCAACAGTGTATGACTCATTAGGGTTTGCAAACGTGATGTCTGATTTCTTGTCAAGTGGCGGGAAAGGAAGTGTCGGGGTAAGCGGCGCTACGAAGTTTTATGTGTGTGATTCATTTGGGTTCCACCATTTGGCTATTAGGTTTTAGCTTTTAGGGAGGCCTGCTCTGATTGCCCCTTCTGCTAATGGTACTGTATGCTTTTTGGTTGGTGGATGAGTAATTCCGGGCAGGGTATGAATTCATGCTTGGGTAGGCAGTTAATCCGTTGAGGGTAATCAATGTTGTTCACTAGTTAAACATTAGGGCCTGCAAACGTGATGTCTGATTTCTTGTTGTGGTGCCACTCGGAC